ATCAATGGGGACGAAGGAGCTCGCCTTGTTCTGGTGGACGTAGGTTGTCTTCTCCTTGTCAGGACCAGAACCCTCCACCTCGGCGCTCTTCTTTGAGCCTGAACCCTCCGTCTCGGCGCCTTTCTTCTTCTTGGTAGGGATCTGGCCCTCGATGCCGTCGCCAGTGACATCCTCGTCGGTCGAGGCCCGCTCCTCCCGAGCCCGGCGCCTTGTGATTTGCGGCTCCGCTCCGGGTGGGCGCAGACCTTGATGGGTGGCCGACTCGACCCCGACAGCCGCCGAGACCGTCACCCCAGTCGCGTCCTTCGCGAGTGCCGACCTCTTCTTTGCCAAGTTCAAACGACCAGACATGGCGGCTTTTGTCCTAGCTTTGAGTGGGTTAGGGTATTTGCGTCGGTATATGTTCGCGGCCTTCGTCGACTTAAACTCTTTGAAGCAGAGGATGGGGTAGTAAACTGCAGATAAATGACGGTCAAGAAAGGAACGGAAATCATTCGCGATAAATCAAAGGAATAATACGATACCTGGTTGAAAGAACTTGTCAATGATCACCGGGCTGAGATTGTGGTCGAGCAAGCTTTCCTCTTTCGTAAGTGCCGAGTAGTGCTGCCTTTCCAGATTAAGTCTCAACAAGGTGTCGATCCGGGTAGCAAGACTGGAGCTAGGGGTCGAACTCGCACTGCAGACCGAAAACGTAAATCACGACCTGTTAGAACAAAAAGAAGAAATCAGTAGACGGCAGTAAAGGAAAAAAGAAAAAGCTTACGGGCATGAGAATTGAAATGGGTGGGCGGATGCCGGGTCGCGTCCTGGGTCTTCCACTCGCCACCAACCCAAAACCACTTCGGCATATAGCCGTGTAAGGTTTGGCAACTTGGCCACCAACGTCTTATCAATACCCGGCAACACCGAGCTGTAATAGTTGCCGGTGTTGTCGGAGCGCTTAAAAGAGAACAAGGCTTTCACTTCTTCGCCAGTGGGATCGGGCCAACCCTCGCGACGGAACATGATGATCAGACTCACGAGCCGAGCAAACACCGTCGGCACATATTGACTAATGCCGATCTCGAGCTTGCTGAGGATGTCGTTCAACACGCCGGGCAGGGGGAACCGGAGACCCACTGTATGCTATGACGGTAAACCCCGATACAACCCGGCGGTGGGCAATGAATCCGCTCACCGGGATAGGGCGCGAAGATCCGAACTCCGAGGCCAAAATTATATTTTCCCCTCAATTGAGCTAAGTCGGCATCGGCTAAGACCGACTCCGTGGCCCAAGCTACCACACCGCTCGGAGTCGCCCAGACTCGCTCAGGCCGGCGCCAAAATCCTGGAGGAGCGATCGTCACGGTCTCAAGGGCGGCATCGTTCGCCAAGTCCCCCAGACCCATGGGAACGCGCTCCCGACAGCCGGTGTCCCCTCCAAGAGTCTCGTCGACCAGATCTTGGTCGACATCGGAGTCGGAATCTAAAAAACCAAGGTCGATGGAGTCGGCGTCGGCCGCGGCCGATGGGCTCAGGTCGGTATCGGCGCCCACGTGCAGCGACGTCGGAAGAACATCAGGATTGTGATCTCTGCCACCGCCAGAGGCGGTCTCGATCGCTGAAAAGTCTGGTCGAACTACGGAGATGGAGACGGCTGTGAGGATAACGCCTGCCGGCGCAAGAGGGGAGTGAACAGCCATGTGGCCATCTACGTGGGTCGCGCCGCCGGAAGGACCGTCGTCCTTGCCGGCGGAACGGCCGCCACTCACGGACTCTGTTGGAGAAGACATCTCGACAAAAAGACAAAGGAAAGCACAAAAAGAAATTAAGCGTGGATTACCGGAAAATCGCCGAGAATGGTCGCCGGAAAGTTCTTGAAGCGGACTCATAGATTTCACGGGCTTCAGAGTTTTTGAAGGTTCGAAATCGCAAAAGTAGGGAAAGCTTCAAGCGTTCCAAAGGGGGGACATATATATGGGCGCCTGACCAACGGGATGGGGACACGTGTATGAAATTTTAAAATTCAAAATTCAAAATAAAAAGGCGAAACGTCCTGGGGAAGCCAATTGACACGCTCGTCGAACACTTGGTCAAGGAACCGCCACGTGTCGTCCGCGAATGAACACAATTAAGACGTGTCCTTTCAGCTGCTGGTGCTAATACGCACAAGTATGGCGGAAATGCCGACCTCAGGAGCGAGCCCAGCATGATCCATACGAACCCGACTCGGATTCAAGTATTTAACGACCTCGAGAGAGGCACGGTGGGCCTCACCCAAGCTCGGGGGCCTGTATGTTGATATCCGGTTCGGGCTCCCATAAAGGTAACGATTAGAGTGGCCGGGAACCGGGCAAGGCCGGCCCGGCCAGTGGGGCCGGTTACCGTGTCTATTAGCAGGTGCCGATCTGAGTACGAGTCAAAGTCAACTGGAGTGGCAGATGACGTCGTATCCAAAGGTCGGCACCTCAGCATTCCCGTGAAGGAGCCGACCAGCCCGGATATAGGGTCTGGAAGACCGGAGGACAGGTAGACCGTCACAGACCGGCTTGGGATCCTGCCACTCGGCTCTTGTAGGGGTTAAAGATCCAGGAAACAATTAAATAAGGCCACTTGTCGATCAATGATTGCCGATGGGACACCCCAGACTAGCCTGCAGGTCTAGGGCGTCTAGCCCGACCGAGGAGCATGTCCGCATTAAATGCAGCCCATACGAGCATTAAATGCGTTGCAGGTAATGATTGGAAGACCCCTAAATCACTCCCAATCAGTCAGAGAAACGCCGGCCTGTCTTGCCAAGTTACTGTACGACAAGACTCGCGAACAGTACCCGAACAGTATCACATTTAAGAGCCCTATAAATAGGAGTTCAAAGCATTTATTTTGGGTTGTTGAATCTCAACTGTCCTGACCCTCTCTACATTTTCTCTCTCTAAACTTGTAAGGAATTTACGTAAGAACTTGTAAGTACATCTCAAGTGCCGACCTCGTACGAGAGGCCGACCTCGGGATCACCTAATAAAATCGTAATTAAACCGTTTTTCCTGCCTTTTTTTCCTTTTTACATTTCTCTAACCGTTGATCGGAAACGTCCATCAACAACATGCATTCCAAATTGGCCTGAAATTAAACAACACTTGATCAATAATGAAGAAGTTCACAACCGACCAAATTTAACAGCAAGAATTTTCCGTGCAAAACTTGAGGAACTTAAAGAATAGATGTTTAAAAATCACATATTTGGATAAATTGCTACTTATACATATGTTATCGAATTCCAAAAAAGAGGCTTACCGCATGCTCAGGGGCGGATCCAGAAAATTTTAGTGGGGGAGGCGGTAAACAATATAATTCTAAAAAATATCATATGTTCAATATAATAGCAAAAATATGTACCTCCAAACTTTGCTAGCAATTAGAGTTTTTTATTTTTTTCAAAGTACAGAACATATTAATGGTTGACTCGAACTTGTACAATATAAAAATACAGAAAAATAAAAGAAAAATCTCATGTTCGAAATTTCTATAAACATATATCATATATCTCCGCCATATTAAATTGTGTATCTTAAGTGCTCTGTATATTAAATTTACCCCTTGTACTAAGTCATATACAAGCGTATTTATAGAAGACTTACAAGATCTAATCCTTATTTATAATAATTAGTATACGGATTAGTACAAACGAGTTAGGATAATTATGGAGATTCTTCTACTAATACTCTTCTTTGAATTCTCTAGTTTTAGGTAAGATTGTTGATTATCAAATTATTAACTTATTTATTTAAATTGAGGATCAATATAAAAATATAATATTACATATACTTTATAGAAAAAAAAATGGGGGGGACAATGGCCTCCCCAACTTACATGTACACCCGCACCTACGCATGCTCATTTTTTACTTATGCTAAAACCAGGGTACAAAATGTACAAGTCAGAAGAACATGATAAAATTGTTTGTGCAGAAATTCCTAACAGAAAAAAATATCCACACCTTTTTAAATTGGTTAGAAAACATATGGTGCATGGTCTATGTGGTGAGCTAAACTCCCAAAATAAATGCATGACCAGAAAAAGAAAGTGTAAAAATTCCTATCCAAAACAATTTTGTGAGGAAACATCAAAATTGGGAAATGCATATCCAAAATATAGGCGTCGCGACAATGGTTATAAAATTAATGTCAGGGGTCATTTATTAGATAACAGATGGATTATCCCATAAAATCTCTATTTACTCGCCAAATTTAACTGTCACATCAATGTAGAGATTTGTTCAACAATTTGTCCTGTAAAATATATTTACAAGTACATATATAAAGGCCATGATCGTATAAGTTTTCATGTAAGCGCTGAAAACAATGATGTGTCAATTGATGAAATACAACAATTTAGATCAGCAAGATGGGTTTTCCCACAAGAAGTTATTTGGAGAATATTTAAATTTTTAATAGGGGAGATTAAACCTGTAGTTGTACAATTCCCTGTGCATTTAGAAAATTTTCAAGTAGGCTTCAGGAAAAAAGATAGATTGGAAAACATCGTTAATAACCCAAGAAATAAAAGAACTATGTTGACTGATTTTTATGAATAGAACTTATCCTGAAGCCCAAGGGCTAAACCTAACTTATTCTGAATTTTCACAATATTATGTCTGGTTAAGTGAAAAAAGACGATTGAAAAGAAGAATACAAGGAAGTTGATGGGAACGAGACCGCAATCGCCTTTTTAAATAAATTCGATCGACTCCGGGTTTAAGGCGTTTATTTTATCATGCTTTATATATTATTTCCCTCTTTATTTTTAGACAATTTAAATAATTATTTGCACTTGTTAGGCAAGATATTGAGTAAGTTAGGACTCTTTATTTATTAGGCAGGGGTTGTGACTTTCATCGATCATTGAATTTGAGAATTTTATCTGTGTTTGTGAACTTTTCTGTGAGATAGTATCTTGCATCTTCCCGTTTGTACCACGTTCTACATCAGTTGGTATTCAGAGACTAGCAACGATCCACGATGCTGCCAAAGAGAGAAAACACCGTCAACGACGAAATCATTGAACAACGATTCCAGAGTTTGGACACCCGATTTCAAAGGATGGATGATCGTTTCACGGACCTCTCAACCGGGATTGAGGAATTGCAACAGGCTCTGCGTACCATGATGGAAGAAGTTCATATGAGCCGCGACGTCAGGGACCGACCACGCACGGAGGGTTTCGCGGAGGAAGGGGAGCCTGCCGACGTTCACCACTGCCTCTGTCCGGCGAGGAGGAGGATGAGTACACGGTGAGTATGGAGAACCCCTTTCCAGCAGACCAACATCGACGGCCTGTTCGCGAAGGGGATCGTTTTCCACGAGGGTCTGGAGGCGATGAGCACCGACGACGTGACGGGAGGACACGCCACAGGGATGAGACCTGGGAGGACGACGACGATGGTGGCTTCAATGGCGGAGGGTGAAGCGGCCATGGCAGGACGATGGAGCGGCGGCAACGTGCGCCTCCGCGTGGTAGTGCAGACTCAGAATCGGACGATGAGGGGCTGTTCCGTCAGGGCTAGGGGGGTTGCGAGGGTGACTTTCAGCCTTGGATAGCGCGTGTTGATCGTGTGGAGTTTGAACGAGGGGGTCAGGACCGACGTGATGGCAGGCGCCAGATAGAAGGGGGAGATGAGTCACGTTGGGAACATGGGTTTCGTGTGGAGATTCCGGAGTTTGCAGGAGGTGTGGACTGCTCGGAATTTATTGATTGGTGGGCTGCGGTTGAGGCGCTTCTCAAGTTTAAGGGTGTCCCAGAGGATAGGCGGGTTGCTTTGGTCGCCACTCGTTTTCGGGGTCGAGAAGCGATGTGGTGGATGCAACTCACGAGTATGCAACATCGTCAAGAGAAACCAGATATAGTATCATGGATGAAATTCCGTAGGTGTGTGGAACGTGAGTTTGCGCCTTACAATTATGATAGCCTTGTTTATCAAACTTTACAGAACTTATGTCAGGGTCCTCGTTCGGTCGATGAATACACGAACGAGTTTTACCGTCTCTAAACTCGTGTCGAGTTACGTGAAACTAAGAATCAAGTGGTGGCCCGTTATGTCGGCATGTTACGACCGTCGATACGTGACACGTTAAATATTCTTCGGCCAGAATCCGTGTCGGATGCCCACCAGCGGGACCTCATCTTGGAACTTCAGCCGGCTCAAAAACTGGGTTCTACCTTAGCGTCTTCCTCTCGTCAGGGACCAACCATGGGCGTTGCAGGCCAACCCATCCGTTCGGTCCAAGCGACGAGAAGTGGTCTTCTCCAAGAGGTGTCGCCGGGACATTTTCCGTCGGCAAGCGGGTCCTCGTAGCGGGCTGGTGGTGCTGGTGAACAGCAGCCCTCCCCGGCGGCAGCCCAATCAATTTTCGGTCTTCGGTGTTTTGGATGTGGGGATGTCGGTCATCGTCAGTCGGTTTGTCCGAAGAGTGTAGGAACATGTGCCTTGTTTACGGAGGATGTTGGGGACATTGTTACCACCGAATATTATATGGGACAACCGGTTTACAATGTTGAACCAGTTGAGCTGGAAGAGTATGTGACCGGTAACGTGGGTACGACTTTGGTTATTCGCAGGACGTGTTTGGTGCCACGTGGTTCTAGTAATGCTCCCGTCGAGCGACATCATCTGTTTGAGTCTACGTGCACGGTCGGTAGCAAGGTTTGTCGGTTTATCATCGACTCTGGCTCCTGTGAAAATGTTATTGCTCAGGAGGCAGTGGACAAACTGTGTAACGCCCAGATTTTTATTTACTATTCATGGAGCTTGACTATATTTCCATAAATAGTAAGTTTCTAAATTTGATGCATTTTTATTTTTATTAATTGCATTAAATTAAATAATTAGTATTAAAATCTAAGTCATGGAGTATTCATTCGATTTTAATTATTAAAGTCGGATTCATCTAGCCCAAGTATCGGTTATATTTTTAAAACTGAGTCTTGGATCAATCGGAACTTTATTTAAGCGGATCAAAGCCCGAATATTTAATTTATTCGAGCCCAACCATTTTCGAGCAAGCCAAATAATTTTCGCCAGCCTATTATCAGTAATTATTTCGATCGACTAATTTAATTAGTCCTAGTTCGATTAATTTTATTTAACCGAGCGTAGGATTTCTATTTTTCTAGCCCGAGTACATAGTCGATTTTTTAAATCCGAGCCCAATAGTCGATTAATAACCGAGCCCGACCTATTAATTGTTAGGGCCGATTTTTAGGCCCAAATTCAAGAAAAACCCTAAACTCCTCTCCCCTCCTATATATATATATATATATGTGTCTTGCCCCCTTTTTTCCAACACAAACACCAAACCCTAGACAACATTCTCCATTTTCACCTTCAAGCTCAAAGTTCATCATTTTCACTCCACCTCACAAATCCGGCGAGTTCCCGGCGAGTTTCCGGTGAAACCCGCGATCGGCGAGCTCATCCTGCACCGGTGGTCCCAGCTCAAGCCGCGCACCACTCCCGTCGCAGCCACCTCAGCTCACGCCCTCAACCTCGGTTTGACCCAGCAGCAGCTCGAGCTCGCGGCCGTCCATCCTGCACCACCTTCCCGTCGCCGGCGAACCCGCAGCAGCTCCAGTCGCAGCTCCGTTTTCCGGTGAGCTCGCAGCCATTCTCAGCGCCCTCACTTGCAACAACCACCACTGCGACCTCCCTCTTCACGGCGAGCTCTCAGCTCCGCCGCGACCTCAGCCCGCCGCCGTCCTCATCATCTTCAAGCTCGCCACCACTTCACGCAGTCACAGCTCGAGCTCACGCCGGCGACCTCCATTCACGGCGAGCTCCTCAGCCCCGTCACAGCTCCCACCGCCGAGCTCCGCCTCGCCACAGCCACTCGCCGCCGTCGAGCCACCCACGACCAGCTGACCCGGACCCGCGGCCCACAGCCCTAGATCCGACCCGATTTGCAAGAGCCGACCCATTTTCACTTTCCCGATCTATTTTCAATTTTCCCGATCCGAACCGATTTAAGGTATATCGGCTAAAACTCGACTCCAATGGCGATTATTGAATAATTATAAAATCGAGAAATTGGTTTGAGTGAGATTTGAATAAATCGGGATTTTCGGGCTTGAAGCGATTTTTCCGGACTTTTTAAATAAATTCGATAAAATGTCGAAATAAATACCATTAAATTCGTTGCATCGATTCGAGGCTTAGGTGCGAATTTGAGAATTTTCGGACTTCGTTTGATAGGCGAACGAGCCGGTCAAACGTGGTGACCGGTCGTAGCGATCTTGAGTTGACTAGTCTAGGAGTTGACTTTGGACTTGAGAAGTTGAACATGGACCGAACATATATTGAGGATGCTATGTTGCGAATTTCGTGAATTTTGGATGTCGTTTCACTTAGATTTAAAATAGGGACTTTAGCCGTTAATTCGAGAAATATAGAAAAATAGTCCGGTTAATACTTTAGCTGCAGTTGTGAATTATAAATTGATTTTTTTAAATCACATAGAAAATATATATTAAATATTGGCCTTAAATGAGTTAGGATTTTCGAGAATCAAAACCCTAGTTTTATCCGGATCCGGTAACCGGGTATTTTTTCGGATCCGAATATAAATAACCGAGCTGCACATAGTCAAGCGAATGACCGACCGGCTCCGAGTGAGCTGTCGGTCCAATTTAGTCGAATCGGTCCGGTCAGTCCGGACGGTTCGAGATAAATTTCAGATCCAGTCAGATTAAGATTTCAGATATAGTTGAGATTCTAGATAGATTTAATATCCAGATTTAGTTAGATTTCAGTCAGATTAGATTAAGTCAGATTTTAGTTCCAGACTTAGAAAAATTTCAGAGAATTCTAGAATGCCTCAAAGTCAATAATATTTTCAAAAATCAGCTCGTAAATCCCTAAAATGATTTTTTTAAAGCAGAATGAGCGAACCTAGATATATAAGATAATAAGATTTGAGTTTTATTCTGAGCCAATACTTAGAATATTTCGCTCAATATATTTTGTAGCTTGAGGAGAGTCGAGCCTCCGTTAGCTACTCATTTCAGCATTTCCGCATTTCGCATTCGCCAGTTTTCAGGTGGGGATCCTGTACTGTGTATTTCATAGCTTTTAATAGTTTACCATGTCTGAGGTCTATATGTGATTAAATTGAAGGACCGAGACGGTTGAGTAATCTCGTCTTGGTCAATATTTCAGTATTTCAGTTATGACTTGGATGCGTGTGATTAGGGCCCATCCTAAGTCTAGCGTCCAGATGTGGCGATTAGTGCCTTCCTGGATTTCTGAGGGAGGGGACCCCCAGAGTGTGCACATGAGTATCGGTTTACCGTTAGTCCTATATAGTCAGCTTCAGTTTATTTATATATATGCTAATTTCATGATGGATTATTAAAGGTGCTGGGTATTCAGTACCGGTCCTGGCGGAGCACCGTTGATTTCTTTGTGCTCACGCCTCCCCACTACCTTCTTTTTCAGGTGACGGAGTCCCGCGTGGAGCGTGAGCTGGATGTGGTGGTGGTCGTCAGCCAGTACATTTTTGATATGACATGTCTTATAGTTACTTGAACATGTCTAAACTGTCTTTTGGTCTTTGCATGTTTTTCATGTGTTGATGTGTGCTTTCCGAACTATATTTGCTTCCGCATTTCAGAACTATAATTTCAGAATTTCAGAATGCATGAACGACTCCAGTAAACTCTTTTTGGTTGCATGCATAGTAATTAAAGAGAATAGATTACAGCAGTAGCATCCCGTGTATTAAAGTTAAAGTCTTTTCGAAAATTAATAATGTTTTCGAAAAATAAATAAGTACTTCCCATTTATAGCGCGAAAAATTTACTCTGTTTTTAGTAAGTTTAGGCGGGGTGTTACAAACTGCAACTGTCTGCGGAACCTCACCCGTACCCGTATACGCTAGCATGGATATAGAAAGGTACAACACTCACCGTCGACCGCCGGGCCCTTGTTTCTTTCTCAATAGGCCCTACGTACCGTGATCAGGTGTGGTGCGACGTTGTCCCGATTGATGCTTGCCATTTGTTGTTAGGTCGCCCGTGGCAGTACGATCGTGCGGCTACTCATGACGGTCGACTAAACACGTACTCGTTTATTTTTTGTGGGGTCAAAATCATATTGCTCCCTAAGACACCTCGTTCTTGGCCACAGCCGAGTTTCACATCATACGTCCTTGTACTGTCTCGATCGGTTTTTCTCACCGAATTGCGTGAGTCCTCATTTTCTGTTGCTCGTTGGGGTGGACAGGAGTGACGAGCGAGCACCATCGGCTTTGATTCACCCTTTACTATCCGAGTTCGTGGATGTGTTTCCCGACGAACTCTCATCGGGCTTGCTTCCACTTCGCGACATCCAACATCACATTGATTTGGTTTCGGAGGCGGCTTTGCCGAATCGACCTCACTATCGAATGAGCCCATCGGAACATGAAGAACTGAGGCGATAGGTCGAGGACATTCTTCAGCGGGGGGTAGTCCGACGGAGTTTAAGTCCCTATGCAGTTCCAGCCCTTCTGATCCCGAAGAAGGATAATTCCCGGCGGATTTATGTCGACAGTCGCGCAATCAACAAGATCACGGTCTGTTATCGATTCCTGATTCCTCGGTTGGATGACTTATTGGATTAGCTTCACGATGCCACCGTCTTCACCAAATTGCATATTCAGAGCGGAAGACGGTGCTTAAAATACGTGCGGGTCTTTTCAAGTGGATGGTAATTCCATTCGGGCTGTCCAATGCGCCGAGTACATTTATGAGAGTGATGACCAGGCATTACGAGATTTCATCAGTAAGAGTGTCGTCGTTCATTTTGACGATATTCTTAATTACAGTCGAACTGCGGATGAGCACTTCCACCATGTTCGGGAGGTTCTACTTCTTTTACGAGCGGAGTCTTTCTTTGCTACTCTAAGTAAGTACTGCTTCATGGTGGATTCGATTTTGTTTTTAGGATTTGTCATCTCGTCAGAGGGTATTCGTGTAGATGAGAGCAAGGTGGCGGCGATCCGGGGCTGGCCGACCCCGACCTCTTTCACTGAGGCGTGTAGTTTTCACGGCCTTGCCTCATTTTATCGTCGCTTCATTTCTCACTTCAACACCATTACTGCTCCACTCACGGATTGCCTTCATGGCAAGTCTTTTGTGTGGACTCCGTCGGCGGAGAGTGTTTGTCCCATTTTTGTTGCGTTTTTCCTTATTGTTTTGTTTATCTTTTCTTCCCCCGTTTAAGATCGTTTCTTTCATTTTTTGTTCATTTTGTGTTTTATTGTGTGTTTTCCTTCATTTCGAGTCTTTGTGTGTTTTTCGTTTGTTTCTCCGAATCTCCGTGTGTTTTGCCGTTTAAAGTTGAAGGTTTTGGGTGAGTATTATTTTCAGGAAAAGTTGGTTTGAGAGCATAAATGAATAAAGGGGTTCGTCGGTGACACATAGCAAAAAACGGAATTCAATTCTAAGTTCGGATGAGCCCAAACGAGCCCAAACGAGCCCAAAACGTAAAGCCGCGCAATGCAGTCCAGTTTTCTTCACCGCGGGCAGCGAGATTCGTCGCGGGCAGCGAGTCATTTTTTGCCTACAAAAGTCGCGGCTGCGGAGCAAGTCGCGGCCGCGGAGCTCTTCGTCACGGCCAGCGAGATTCGTCACGGCCAGCGAGACCTGGATTTTGCTGAATTTGTGGCTTCTTCCCCTCTTTTTCTCCTTAGTGGATGATAGTGGCGATTTTTGGGCATGTTTTGGGGCATTTACATCTGAAATTTGGGGCTAAACACTATAAGAACACCCTCCATTTCCATCTATGGGGATCCAACACTTTGATTCATAATTTGCTTCTAGATTTTCTTTCATTTTTCCTAAGTTTTTCCTAAGTTTGTATTTTGGTTTGTATTGAAGACATTGTTCTACCTTGGATTATGTTTGCTCTTGGCTTGTGGATTTCACATTACTAGTAAGTTATCTCTTTCATTTTGTTTATGTTGAGAATGGCTTATTTTTATGTGAATGTTTATGTTGAAATTGTTATGAGTAACTAATCCTCTAGCTAGGGTTGGGGGATAATCATTCCGGTTCGTTCTCGTTTATGTGCATGACGATAGCTCAATCTTGACGAGTTGTTTTAATGAGGAATTGATAAAATTATGCTTGATAAATTGATATAACCTAAGAGTGACACTTAGGTTAAATTGTTGATATAATCAAAGAGTGACACTTTGATTTTGTGATTGAATATTGATTTGTTAAGTTAGAGTTTGATTAATTCTACATGATTAGTTGATTAAACACCTTCTAATCAAATTGCTACTTTTAGAACCGATAGGGGAGAAGTCGTAGAAATAATGATTTCAAAACCGAGAGGGGAGAAATTGATGGAACTTGGCTCGTTTAGAGTAGACATGTTTGGAGACGTATTGTCTATGTGTTAATTGTTTCGTTAATTGGCTCTTTTATGTTTATCCTCAAATTACGAGAGTTAGTGAGGTTAAACCTCTAAATGAGTTAGTTAGTCGAGCCAATTAACCGAGTTACTGATTGCCGATAAATGTGTGTAGAACCGGAAGTGATTATCCCCGATACCCTAGCCCGTCTATATCTTGTTGAATTGCATTTGTAAGTTGTGACATTTAAATCGCTTAATTTGAGAATTTGTAGTTGATAATCAAATCCCAACAATCGAATTAGAATGTTTAGGATCATTTTCCTTTCTCGTCATTGAATACACGTACGACTTATTCCGGCTAACCTTCCTCGAGAGACATGGCCCGGTGTTCGAATCTTTTGATTCTACTCCGGTAAAATAAACTACAACAGAGAGTGGCTTTGTTCTGATTAAGACCAAGTTGACCTCTGTTCCTGTGCTCGTTTTATTAGATTTTATGATGACATTCGAGCTCTCATGTGATGCCTCGAAGGTGGGCATTGGCGCCGTTCTCCGTCAATAAGGGCGTCCGGTCTCTTTCTTCAGTGAGAAGTTATTCGGACCCCGCTCCCGATATAACACTTATGACGTAGAATTTTATGCGGTGGTTCGTGCAGTTCGTCACTGGCGCCATTATCTCTTTCATAGAGAGTTTATCCTTACACAGACCATGAGACATCGCGTCATCTAGCGATTCAGGACAACATCTCGGCCCGACATGCGTCCTGGACAGCGTTTCTCCAACAGTTCACGTTTGTGCTGAAACATTAGTCGGGTGCTTCGAATAGGGTGGCTGATGCTTTGAGTCGTCGGGCACTCCTTCTGTTGGACATGCGAGTTGCGGTGGTTGGTTTCGACATGTTGCGGGAGGTGTATACGACTGACCCTTTTTTCGGACCAATTATGCACTGACTTGCGATGGGGCCGTGTGACGACTACTCTGTCACCGGCGGCTTTCTTTTTCGGGGTACTTGCCTTTGCATTCTGGACTGCAGCCTCTGGCAGCGACTCATTGCTGAGCTCCATGGTGCCGGCTACGTGGGCCGTGATAGGTCGGTGGAGTTGGTCAGCAGGTCTTACTTTTGGCCGTCCCTTCGTCGAGATGTGGCTCGTTTTGTGAGCCATTGTCGTGTGTGTCATGTCTCCAAGGGCGTGGCCTCTACTGCCGGTTTGTATCGACCATTACCCATCCCTTCTTTGTCGTGGAGAGCGGTTAGTATGGATTTTATGTTGGGTTTACCGCGTACACAGCGTGGGGTCGACTCTATATTTGTCATGGTGGTACGGTTCTCGAAGATGGTTCATTTCATCCCTTGTAAACGTACCACGGACGCCCTTCATGTGGCCTAACTGTTCTTTCGGGAGATATACCGGTTGCATGGTCTTCTGTCGTCAATTGTCTCAGACCATGATACTCGCTTCTTGAGCCATTTTTGGCGTAGTTTGTAGCGTATGGCGAATACGCGGTTGGACTTTAGTAGTGCATATCACCCACAGACGGATGGCCAGACGGAGGTGGTGAACCATTCATTGGGCAACCTGCTTCGTTGCCTCGTGAGTGATAACCTTCGCAGTTGGGACCAGCGGTTGAGCCAAGTCGAGTTCGCTCATAATTCGGCCATAAGTCAGGCCACGGGCTTGTCACCTTTCCAGGTCGTCTATGCGGTACAGCCGAGGGGACCCGCAGACTTGATCGCTTTACCAGCCTCGACCACGATCGATCGTCGGGATTCCTACCTAATCGAGGAGCTGCGGACCACTTACGCGGCGGCTCGGGCCCGATTGGAGTCCACGACGGTGGCCTATAAGGCCCATGCAGACACTCGTCGTCGCATGTGGAGTTTGAGGTAGGTGACTTTGTTTGGGCTGTCTTAACGAAGGATAGGTTCGCGGCCCACGGATATAACAAGTTGTCTGCTCGGAAGATTGGCCCAGTCGAGATCATCGAGAAAATCAACCCCAATGCTTATTGTCTTCGCCTTCCGTCCCATGTTCGTACATTTGACATTTTTAACGTCAAGCATTTGGTGCCATTTGCCGTCGACAATTCGGATAGGGACGAGACCGATTCAGATTCGCGACCGAATCCTTCTCAACAGGGGGAGGATGATGGGGACGAGACCGCAATCGCCTTTTTAAATAAATTCGATCGACTCCGGGTTTGAGGCGTTTATTTTATCATGCTTTATATATTATTTTCCCTCTTTATTTTTAGACAATCTAAATAATTATCTTGCACTTGTTAGGCAAGATAGTAAGTTAGGACTCTTTATTTATTAGGCAGGGATTTGACTTTCATCGATCATTGAATTTGAGAATTTTATCTGCGTTTGTGAACTTTTCTGCGAAAGAGTATCTTGCATCTTCCCGTTTGTACCACGTTCTACATCAGAAGTGTAGTTGCTAGAATATGCATTGTACATTTAGCAGAAGGCAAACGTTATTATTTGAGATTACTTTTAACTAAAGTATGAGCACCTAAATCTTTCTACTTTCTAAGAACATTTGAAGGTAAAATATTAAACACATTCCGAGAGGCAGCTAATTTAATGAAAGGATTACTAATGAATGATAATAATCAGGACGACTGTCTAGAGGATGCCGCATTGTTTAATATGCCTTATGAACTTAGAAGACTATTTGCTACTATATTAGTGTACTTGTGTCCTCCAAATCCTAAAAGGCTTTGGTTGAAATATGAAAAACAAATGTATGAAGATTTTATGAGGTGCTCTAATTTAACTTCTACCGAAATAAGAAACAAAGTCATACAACAGATAAATGGATTCCTTCAATCAATGGGAAAACATATTTCATCTTTTGATATAGTTCCTTCAAATATGTTGCCATTTGAGATGCAAAAAGAAACTAGAGAATTAACTGCAGAAAGAAATATTACGGTGACTGAAGAAGATTTAAACATAATAAACTTAATAAAAAAACAAAGGGAAGTATTCAATATAATCAGACAAAGAATATATGAAAATAAAAGTGGAGGTTTTATAATAGATGGGACATGTGGTACAGGAAAATCTTTTTTATACAGAGCATTGTTAGCAGATATTAGATCAAAAGGTTTTATAGCATTAGCAACTGCAACATCAAGTATAGTGACCTCAATCTTACCAGGTGGCAGGACTGCTCATTCTCGCTTTAAAAAACCAATAGATACTACTAATGAAAAAACATGCAAAATTAGCAAACAAAGCAGCCTTGCTATTTTGTTACAAGAAAGCAAAATTATTATATGGGATGAAACACCAATGGAAAAAAGATCTTCAATAGAAGCACTTGATGATTTGTTAAAAGATGTTATAGATTCTACAAAATTATTTGGTGGAAAGGTAGTTGTGTTGGGTGGTGATTTCAGACAAATACTACCTGTTATTCGTAAGGGAAACAAATCAGATTCAATTAACGCGTGCATAATTAATTCTAAATTGTGGCCACTTCTAGAAAAATACCAACTAACAGAAAATATGAGAGCTCGTGATGATCCTTTGTTCACTAAATTTTTACTAAGCATAGGATATAGCACTATAAATAACAAAGATGATTCAACAGTTAAAATCCCACATTCACTTATGCTTGATTATGTTGATGAATCAACAATTTTACATGAATTAATTGAAATGGTATACCAGAAAAGTCAATGGACTAATGGTTCAACTAATATACCTTTGAATAAAGCTATTTTATCTACCAAAAATTCTTTTGTTGATGAAGTTAATAAAATACTTATAAATAGTTTTCCTGGTCAAATTATTGAATACATCAGTTTTGATGAAGTATTGAATCAATCTGATCAAGGGCAGTATAA